AAAACCATTACAGAAACTCTTCGGCAAAAATTATTTTGAAATAGAAAAAATAACATAAATCGATTTATATAAATAATGAACGGTTTCCATTTTTTTATTTATAATTCATTAAACAAAATTAAATAAATCAAAACGCAAGCAAACACCATGCATAAATCATATATTCAAAAAACTGAATATATGATTTTTTTTTAGAAATTACTTGAAAACAGTTTTAGAATAATATTAGTTATTATAAATGACTTACCTTTCACTGTAGTAACTCCACGAGGTCTCAACACAAAAAGAATTAACATTGTTTCTGTGCCAGCTTTTATGGGGGCAAAAAGGCGCCAAAACAATATAAATCGTTACTCGTCATACTCGTTATGTCGTTATGTTTATGTCGTTACCTACATATATTCAAATTCAAATCTTATATTTCTGTCATAGATCGTTATCAATGATAAAATCATTTATCTTTGGTTGTTATCTTATCAATAAATAGTTTTTGGTATTAGGCAATTGATAGCGCTAGTGTTGGCAAAATCACAGAAAACCTGTCATTGTTTATATACATTTGGATTTTTGAAGAAAATAAACAAATAAATTCAGTCTTAAAATATTTTGAATATCTTTTGGAAAGATTATAGTGATTATATGGATACATATACCTAATTTTAATTAAGTCATAATTTAGTACATTAATATAAAGTGAACCTCTGGGTTTTCCTTTTGAAATTCTATGTCATTTGTCAAATTAATTACTCAATGTCTTTCTATGTAGACAGATTGTAATTTATAAGAAAATAAAAAAATAAAAAATGACTACATGAAAAATTTGTGTACTTGGTATGAAATTATATATACTAAAGATAAAATTAAATTTTAAAATCAAAATATATTTTCAATTTATTCAAGAGTTCTATTATACATGTATAATGCAGTGCAGTGCAATTTATTCAAGTGTTCTAAAATACATGTACGATGTATATACACATGTATATACAGTGCTGGATTTACAGTAGGGGGAGTCGGGACTACTGCCCAGGGCTACAAATTTTCGGAGGCAGCAAAATTTGGATAGTGAAAAAAAATTCTATACCATATAATTAAATAATTTTTTTAATAAAATTTTTAATTTCAAGAAATATAATTAACAAAACATTATACAAATGCATTGCAAAATTTGGCAATTTGGCTAATATAAAGATGTTCTTCAGATCTCGAGCCCTCTTAAGATGACGAATTTGTGCACTTCCAAGCTCATAGCGATGAAAAAAAAACTAAATTAGTGACGCACGTTCGAAATTTTTTGAAAATTATTAAGTTTCATTTATTAAGCTTATTAAAATTGAATTTTATTTGAATAATTCGATTTCTATTGATAGCGAAACGTGCTGATTAGTTATTGGCCAAGACAGGTCCAACTGTTTCGGAAATATGGGCCAAAATGCCAAAAATAATAATTCATTTTTTGAGAAACGGAACGTCCAATATCATTAAAAGAAATTTACATATATAGACAAAATGGAGAACTGATTAAGTTTGTGAAAAGCAGGTCTAGCGGTTTCGGTGACCCAATAAAAAAAATTGAAAGAGAAACATTTGGCGGTCAAAAATGATCATTAACCATATGCACATAAAATTATCAGATATTTTAATAATTTAAATTTTGTTTACATTTCTATGAGTTCTGCAAAATTATTTATCTGTTATTCTGCGAGGCGGCGCTTACTTACGCAGGCCGATCGCTTTAATTTTTTTTTTTAATTTTAATTTTTGGTACTGAAAGTTTCAGCAATTTATCTTAAGGCACGATGCCAAGCACCACTATTTACACTATGTAATGCGTAATAATTTTTTTGCAATCAAATAGTTTTTTTAATTTTAGAAAAATGATACATATAAACTATTTTAAGTAAAAAATTTAGGGATGGGGCGGCATTTTTGTCAGTGCCCCAGGGCGCGAAATTTCTAAATCCGGCCCTGGTTATAGGGCACTCCTGTACTGGACCCTTTTCTTCGTGATTAAGGTATTGGATACTTCTAATAGTATTTGATACCTACGCAGGAGAGTTTGGGGTAATATGTAACATGAAGGTAAGTTGTAACACAGCACTTTTTCTAGAAAATAATTAATAGTGAAATAATAAACAACAGTTATGGAATTATTTTTACATTTCAGTAGAGAAACAGTTACAGCAATTATCTTTTTTTTGTCTAAATATAATCAGTGGATCTCAAGATATATTCTTAAAAAATAATCTGTTACAACCAGCTCCTAATGCTCTAGTTCCCCTATTGCAGCAATGTCCAATTTAAACAAAACCACGCATTTAAGTTAAACCAGAAATGGCAATTTTAAAGTTGTTTCTTCCGTCAATGGATAAATTTGATTTTAACTATATATTTATGAATCAATTTGAATTTTTTTCGAGTTCGTCCCTAATTCTGGTAAAGTATTTGACGAAACATTGCCATCATCCCTCGTAATATGTTTGTCGCGTTTGCAGCATCAAGTAGAGAAGTGTGCCGCAAACGCCTGCAGGTCTCACATTGAATGCTTTTCTGATCGTGTGATGATTAGTTGAACATTTTTTTGATACAGATTTAATATGTAATATATTACCTTTGATAAATCGATGTAATTTGAATACTTTGTATGAAAATCGATAATAGCGGTATTATTAAAAATATATGTTTGGAACGTAAGATATATGTTTTCCTAAAGCAATATTTTATTCTTTTGCCCCGGATTGTCCCGGGTTTTCAAAAATATAAGTATAACCTGATTTTTCTGGATAATTGAATAACTAAGTATATATGCGTAGTATACTCATATGAAACAATAGATTATGAATGAGTAATATTTCGAATGCAAAACACCAAAGTGTTAAAATAGAATCTCACATTCTATTTTTAATTTTTCGAAAATTAGCTACCTTCTCCCTACTGTCCCAACGCAACTACCGTTGTCTACAAGTTGTCGTCCCAGTTTTGACCTAAAAAATATGGTTACTATTGGCCACCTTAGTTGTATCTAAAGTAGCTTACTTTGAAGTACACGAAAAAGTAGTAGTTACCTGAACGTATGTGTGAAAGATTCAATCAGTCAATATATCAAATCATTAAAATTCTTATTAAAACATACCAATTGTCCATCTCATTGAACATGAATTTACAATTCAATCTCTACGCACTCTTCAAAAAAGTACCTTAGACACGATTATGTAGAACACTTGCATTTTGCCAGCATGGCATCATTTTGAATTCAGTCTGAAGCACATTTCGCCCTCCACAACCCTTCGATATGAAGTGTCCCTTCGATGAGTATTATGCGTATATTTGTACACAATGCCAGAGCGGTATTTTTTAATAGAAGGACATTAAATACATTCGGGGGTTGTATAGCATGCAAAAAATTGGAGTGGACATATGCAGATCTATGAAGAATTATAAAATATTAAAAAATATATAAATATGAAAAACAAAAAAATAAATTCACAATTTGATAAAATAAAGTAGGGTAGGATAAAAGTAAGAAAAATTGGATAACTCAAAAACAAGTAAAATTGAGAATTTTTTAACGACAATATTTGAAAGTATAGGGAAAAATATGTGTAATCAGCCATTAACTTGATTTTTACGATGTCGCTATCAGGAGATAAATGGAAATGTATAAAAATCCATAACAAAAGTATTTTCATTCGTTGATAATTTTTTTGGTTGTGAGCACTGTTGTTTAGTTTACGAGACCAAAATATAATTTAATTGTTTTATAAGACGTGTTGTTAATTTTAAGTTAGATTCCACAGTTTTTTATATTTATATAAAAGTTTACATGCGGGTGGGGTGTTAACAATTAAAAATAGTAAATAAAATAATAATTAGGCATTTTTTCGTTAGTAACTTATCTTATAATTAACTGTTGATTTGAATTAGGTCCATATAGTAATCACTTCTACATTTTTCAAATATTGGGAGATATTTTTAACTACCGTTATATCTGAATAAATAGGTGTTTGGTATACCAACAGATTCTTAGTTCTGGTTTGTCCTTAAACAAATATTTGAAATCAATTATTAGAACAAATACATCGGTATAAATTCTTGGATATGACTATGTTCAAAGAAACCGCTCTACTAATTGTCAAAATGTTCTCAGTACAAACTTTAAAACAAATCTTTTTTCAAATTTTTATAATTAAGAATATCTAAGTATACTTATAAATTATTTTAATTGACAAATTATTTGCGAATTTAATTGATATGTAGATAGACAGATATATTAAAGAAAATTTACAATCCAACGATATACTTTGCAATGTGTTAAAATAAATTTTAATTATCAAAGATTTTATTACATAAAATTCATTTAATCATGAATCTCCATGTTTTCATTTCTACCAAATTGTTTTTTGTTCTTATTGTACTTTCACTAATAATTTGATTTGCTCAGCTAAACTTAACTAAAACTAATCTAACTTGAGCTAAAAAATAAAGTAATTATATAGTAATTTTTGGACAACTAATAAAACTATAAGATTAAATAAAATATGGTAATAATATATGGCAAGAATGTGACCTCCTTATTAAATTAAGAAGCTTAATAAAATTTAAACAACATAAATAATTATATATATTGCACCTGTAAATACATATATCATTTATCAATATTCACAACTGATGGCATAACATTGTATATCATCTTCAAAATAACTTCTCTTAAATTTTAAATATTAAAATATTTTAAAAACAATTTTACTGAATCTTTCATTTATATTTTAACTTGACTGTATTATTTATTGATTTTATCTAATAGTTTACTTGCCGACACCAATACCCGATCGCAAACAAACAAAGATGACAAACTTTAAGGAGTTCGTTGCTCTATGTGGGGTCTCTATATTTGTAATGGACCTCCCATCGATTCCAATGGGAACTATATAAAGAAAATCATGGCTTTAAATGAAATAGAATAGATATTTAGTGCTAATGGAATCATATTCATTTAAAAAATGCTTAATTTTATTGCTTTAACGTTTTTAGTATGCATATCAGCAAGTTTGGTAACCGCCAATTCGGATTACCCTTACAATGATAATACATACAATGGTTTTATGGGTATGTATCTAATTAATAAAGTTAATAACATTTTTTTCTGGTATTTATTTATTTGTTTATGTATATATTATTTCTGATATAAATCATTATTATATTATATATAATTAATGGATTTTTGGTTTAGATACGTATCAAATTCACAATTATAGTTTCAGAAGTTTCTAAAAAGTTCAATCAAAAATGTAAGATTTTTTTTCTTTAGACTCCTAGCTTGAAAGTTTAATTTATCATATCTTATTATTATTATTTATCATAAATTATGTAAAATTTCAATGCACTTTAGTCATGTGACCAATTATTTTCAGAAATTGTTAAATTGATACTAAACAGTAGTTACTTTGATTAGACCATCGGAGGAGTGCTGTATTCATTCCGTTGGCTCAAATCAAATTGTTTATATCATATTATTTTTTCAGCTGCATTTATGAATTCATGGAATCAAAACAGAGAATGCCAAATTGGGCCTCAAACGGGCGTTTGCATGTCCAGAGCAGAGTGCAGGAGAGAAGGTGGAGTTTCTGGTTCTGGTTGTGGAATGTTTGGCACTTGTTGCATCGGTAAATGATCAATGAAAAATGCAATATTTTAAAAAAATATAAGTTTTAGCTTTTTGATCCTGAGAATTTAATGTTATAATAATAAATTGATTACAGTTCAGAGAACATGTGGCGCCAGGGTCAATCGCAAAATCAGCTACCTAGAAAATTTGGGCTCAACGTCGAACAGAGGTCAATCCTGCTCTTACACTATACTTGCAAGTAGTCCAAAAGTTTGTCAAGTGCGATTGGATTTTGAAACATTCACTTTAGCACAACCTGATCCGATGACAAACATGTGCAAAGATGATTATGTCGTATTCAATGGACTTCAATTATGCGGAGAGAATTCTGGACAACATGGTAAGTGAATTTATAGTTGATTTTAAGTAAAATTATTTAGAAATCACCATCAATATTTATTTCATTTATATTATTCACTTTATTTCTTTTAAGAATTATTTTATTATTTTCAGTATATTTGCCGCTTAACTACACAGACGGTGCTCGCCAAGTTGACTTTACATTCCACTTAGCTGATCGTCTTTCCTCTGGCAATTCCATGCCACACGCTCGATGGAGAATAAAAGTGACCCAGTTAGAATGTCCTGATCGAGTTGCAACCAAATTCACCAACAACGGACATTTAAGGAATAATCATCAGAAAAATACTAATGATGACTCATTCTGGATTGGTAACAAGTTGGAATAGCATTGGATTTAGACTTGGAGGATTTACTTTTTTTTCAATTTTTAGCTCCACCAGGCTGCTTGCAATATTATCCACAACGTGATGGGGAAATATCGTCTTTTAATCTGGGTGGAGATACAGGTCCTTATCTAGCAAATTTAGATTATGCTATATGCTTTAGACGAGAAGAAAATACACGATATATTGAGTAAGTCACTACTTTTATATGTCATTGAAACATTATTCTTATAAAAATTAAGATTCGTAATTTTATCAGTTTTTCTTCAAACATTTCGAAATATTTACATAGACCTCATATCCAGTGATGTCAATCTCTTGTAAATCTAAAAATGAATCTTTCTCAGATTCAATACAAGAACGTTTCAAGTAGCAGCAAATGATGTACTTGCCGGTGAATTTGGCGCAGATGATCAATGTCAACGTGGTGAAGAAACACAGGGTTCACAGGAAAGTGCAGATTTTCTTGAGCTACCAGGAGGAGTGCTGGTTTCTCAGGCGTTATCATATTATACTAAATATTGCGGAACATTAACGTCAACAAATTTGCTAAGAGGTAAAGAAATTTGTTCTAGATATTTATAATTACGTATAGTAAAAGATCTTTATTTGCGGGTGATATGTTCTCTTTATATGCTCTAAAGAAAAAACCATGAAGAAAATTTTATGACGGGATCCTAGGCTACAATATATATATATATATATATATATATATATATATATATATATATAGATATATATATAAATATTGAATAAAATGATTTAAATATTAATTTATTTATTAATCGTTTCAGCAACAAGTCCTGGTCCACTATATGTGAGATTTGTTAGCGACGGATTAGTTAATGACCAAATTAGTCCAGAAATTGGATTCAGAATGCAGTATAACTTACGAACATAACATATCTATAGTATAATGTAATAAATGTAAGGATAACAGGATACAATAAGTTATTTAATATAAAATATTTATTATCATATATTTATTGGATTTTTTTGCGAATAAATGTGGTAGTTAAATATAAACATAACAGTTATTGTAACAATAAAAAATTGCATTTGTCAGTATTCGTTAATTAGCATTTGTTACGGTGCACATTAAACCGGTCCTATATTCAGATTTTAATCATAATAATAATTTTAAATAACTTAAGTTGCGCCACATAACATATTTAATATTTTTATTATAATAATATATACGTAATAAGTTTAATTTCGTTTTGAACTATTTTGTCTAGGCGTTTTAAAATTGGCAACCGTGTTGCAACTTAAAGCTCCCTCCCCCTTTCATTGTGAGCCGCATATAAAAAAAAGATAAAAAATTTGAAAAACTGAATGATAAATAAGTATTTACTAATAACACAGTAATATTATCTGTTATTTAGTAGTTTATAGTTTTTATTTATCAACTATGAAAGCTTAAACGAGTTTAAAAAGCTCTTTAAGTTGCTCATATATTTTTACTTTGAAAGCTTAAGATTTGATTAATAGACAGAACCTTAGATCTGTACATATAATTATATATGAATTGTATGAGTAAAATATTATAACTATTAATATATAATTTAAATATTTTATTCGTTTTGAACAGTTTTGTCTAACGTACTTTAATGTTGGCAACAGTGTTGAAACTTAAAGCTCCCTTTGTTGTGTGAGCCGTCTTTAGAATATAAAATAGATAAAAAATTAAAAAAATCAAATGATAATTGAGTATTTACTAACAACACAGCAATATTATCTATTATGTAGTAGTTCTTAGTTTTTTTTATCGACTACGAAAAGCTTAAACGAGTTTTAATAGCTCTTCAAGTCGCTCATTTATTTTTGCTCTTAAAGCTTATAAGTATGTACGACAAATAGACAGAGCTTTTAGTCAAATATATATTAGTTGCATAAATAAAATATTTTTGTTATTATTGTTATAAATATTTTAAATTCAAAACTTTAAACGTAAAATAATTTCGTTGCTAAAGTTAGCCATTCTGAAAAATGACAGTTCTCATGACGCTGGAAAAGATATTGATGTGCATTAAACGACCACCATTTTGTACGCCGCTTGTTCTATTAATTTTATGTTTAGAAAATAAATAAGGAAACCCAATAAAAAACATATAGCCATATTTTATTATTGTTTATAACGATATTTATTGACACATAATAATTAATAAGTTTTAGTTTTGTGACCCATGTAACACTTAAATCTGTTTTTAATTATGGCTGTAGTGGGTGTGCAATTAAATCCTGTGAACAATTTGCCAAAAATTGAAAGGTAATTATTGTTTATTCAATATGAATGTTCTAAGTTCAAAGTACTAATAATGTATGGTTTTAGTTTTCTCAATGATTCTTCATATAAAGAAGCTATAGAAAGTTCTTCGAACTTTAATACAAGACTATGTGTAGAAAGGCGATTACGAATGCCATTTTTGGATCCCCAGACTGGTATGAAATATTTACATTAGTTTTATCTAATTAATACAATATTAATAAATATAGTATATTGCATTATTGTTATTTTGCATTGCGATATAAAAATTTACGCTCTTCGGATACTCTAAACTGTATATACACTTAAATTCCTAATTGCTTTATATCTTTAAGTCATTTTTGAAACAAATTGGTTATCACACTATCAGAATTATTATATGTAAATGAAAATATTATCGTTTCAATATTTCGAATGTATTTATATTTCTAAGAATCATGTTTCTATTCAGGTGTAGCTCAAAATCCATGTGCACTTTTTATGAAAAAGAAACAACGAATGCCCGGAATGCGGGAAGGACAAATTTATACATACCCTTCTGCACGGTTTGTTAAATACAAATTTTTTAACCATTTTTGTATGTTATAAGTATTTTTATTTGGATTTTGTAGATGGAGAAAAGCAAGAAGACAATATTTGAGACATCATCAACCTTATACTGATATTATAGAACATGAAAGTGATATTCATACTGTTATAAATCCTGAACAACAGGTCACTGGGCCTTCTGAAACAGAAGTACCAGAAACTAGTCAATCACATCTAAAAGATGAACCACCAAGTGTAAATATGATTTTACTATACTGCTTTATATACTTGATAATTTTATTAACATTTTTACTTTTATTTATTGTTGGCAAAGTGTGTTATATATAATGAAATTACAATTATTACAGGAATGGTTCTATGATGAATTAGAACTGCATGAACTAGAAGCCTTAGAGGATCCTGATCCTGATTCAGATTATGATTATGAAGAATCTTATAGCAAACGAAGAAAAAAGAGGGGCAATGCTAAAGGTCGTTCCAGTACTGCAAATTCTGAAAATCCACCTGCCAAAAGAGGAAGATCTGGGGTTTGTAGAGATTCTGATTTAGATTTTTATTATATATATTTTATGTGTTCTATTACCAGTATGTATTCAGTCATAAAATCAAGTCCTTACAAAAAAGTATATTATAATCTTTTTGCTTAAGCAATGAACATTAAAATGATATTTGAACAAACAATAGTAAAAAAAAATACTTATATATGTATATACAAATAAAATTATTTGAACAACTATTGATTTAAAAAAAAATTTAGGCCGGTCGTGGAGGTGGTAGAAGGAAGACACAACCACCTGCTCCACCGCCACCTTATGAGGTAATGGTTGAAGGTGACAAACCATATGGATGTGAACGTAAGTTATTTTTAAATTTTCACCTTAGTATTAAAGATAATTTGAGATATTTTTATCAGATATTGTTATGATATGAATTTTTTTTTCAAGCATCTAGATAATTTTTGCTATTGCTATACATACATATTGTCTCAGCCAATCCTTTGTCAACAGATTTAATATTGCTCTGCATTTATATAATCCAATTATTAGTACTATAAAATGTTGTTAGTTTGTATTTAAAACTACATTACTTGAAAATCATTTTATTATGTTTCACTGTTCCCATGAATGAAATAATTATACATGCAATATCTGATCAAAATTGCATCTTTATGGTCTGGGTGGTTTTTATGCATGTCTCGCTTTATTAATTTAGCTTTATGGTAAACTTTGTATTATTATTTAACATATTTTTCATTTTATTTATTAAACTATAGCTATAACGAGATTAATATGTTGTTATGCTGCAATTTTTGTTTATTAATATTAGGGTATTTAAATTTTAATATTGATTTTGTATTTCATAACTGTAGTGTACTGTTTATTTTATCTTTATTTATATATTGTCGATATAATCTTACAATATAATTTTGTTGCACTAATGATGTATTTTCCAGATTTTTTTTCATACAGTAACATAGAAATTGTCTATGCAGCCAGAATTGCCTACCCGATACCCAAAATACACAATAAAGTCAATGTTTTACAAAATTATTATTTTTTTTAATTTAAATTCAATTTTTGATTAAATATTAAAACATGTGTTCTTAAGATATTTAGAACTTAAATTAATTTTAATTATGAGAATAAGGTTCACGCGTTTTGGTATAAAATGTTCTTGTATTTGTGTATATAGAAATTATCTTTATATTTGCTTTTAAACAATAAATTTTATCGGACTTCTTTTGTTATTTTAGGTGGAGGGAGGTATGGCAAAAAACGGACTTAGGCAAATGATGAGTACAAAAAAACTATGCGACCAAAAAGCACAGGTTTCATAAATTTGACCAAAAATTACATTGCCCGTCAAATGTGATATGAAAACAAATCTGGATTCTTTTAAATAACTTTCAACTGTACTTTAATAAAGACTTTTGGAAGGTTTTAATATTTAAGCATCTAATATTGTTTTGTCTTGAATTTCCTATTTTTAAATAATGAAGATTTAGCAATTTTGAAAACGACTTGTTCATAAATAATTTAATTTTTTTTCTCAATATTAGATGTGTTTTTATATTATTCAAGTTAATATTTACTGCAGCATTTCATGCTCTTTAGTTAACAGTCAAAGTCAATTAGATTAAATATTTTATGAAGAATTTAATATATAATATTACGGCTGAGAGGCTAGTGGCAATTGTTCGACATGAAGCTCTAATGTATGAGAAAATTCTGCCGCCAGCCTTGTAGCTATAAATGAATTGATATTTTGCTTCTATTTTATATCATAGTTACATGATTCTATTTGATAGTTTAGAGCAATTTAATACAAAGTTACTGCATATCTTGTTTAACTCTAGATTTATTATTAATCTAGTGTTACATATGGTTTTAAAAATTAGGGTTGTACCCTCGAAGTTGATTTGATTAATATTAGCAAATATGAAATATTATACCAAAGGTTCATTTTTCGGTTCATTATGCTTCGTTAAAAGTTTGTAATTAAACAATAGTGTAAATCAATTTTTGCATATGTAATTGTAGCTATAGAAACTGTTTATACATTATGAACTAAAGGGACTGATATTTAAACAAAATAAAAAAAAAACTAGAGGAAATAAAACATATTTATACTTAACTTTCTGTCTATCATTCTCGGTGTCGGTACTTTTCTATAACTTTTTAATTCTAAAGATAAAGAGTGGAAAGTGCCAATAAAACATTTTTTATTACTTCTGGAAAGTTTAACACAACCTATTTATCATTGTTTGAGGTACTTAGTGTAATTTCATTTACACTTTTCATTATTATACTTTTACTCTTCTTTAGTACTTCTACATAAGTGGACACGATTTTTTTTTTCAATTAAACCTAAGTTGTATGGTTCTCTGGGGTATAGATACAATTGGACTCCAAGGTTGTTTTTATTACATCTGTTCATACATGTATTAAACAAATAAAATAGTTGCAATTCTATTCAATCAAATGAACAGCATGAATATTATTTTGTAATTAATTCCAACAAGAGGAGGTAAGTGCAGTTCCGATGTTTCGAATTTTGTTATGGGTTTATTCGCAGTGTGTGGTGCCAAATACAAGACTAGACCAGGACTTGTTTATCACTATGGTCATATTCACAAAGAAAACGCTAGTGATGGCGATTCCCGCGATTCTAGCGGTAAACCGCCGCCGGCTGCCACTGCAAATTCTCCCGTCAACAGTGAGGGGTCGAATTCCACTTCGAATAGCGCACAGCCGCAACCGCAAACGCAGCAGCAACAATCTGCAGCTAAAACAGCAGAAAAAATTGATCCAAAAGCGCCTGCCACAGAGTATCAGGATAGCTATGTTACGTTCCTCAACAGTCCAACATCTGCCGCGCCTGCCGGTACATTCTTTGTTAAACGAATTATACAAAGCTCTTACTTTTCAATAACTAATTTTTGGGTATCTACAAAGATTATGTAAAAGCTAACTGGTTGCACTATGCTAATCTAATGATTAATTTTTAGCTTTTTATTGTTCTTTGTACAATCAACATTACCTTAGCTCAAAAAATGAAATATTCTTAAATTATTGGTGTTCATAGCGAAATATTGTGTAGCATCTTTATAATATAAGAGATTGCGTTTTATAAATCAATTAAACCTAATGATTACTGCATAAGATATGAAATTTAGCCTTTGTGAATTTCTTAAAAATTTCTATCGATAGCATAGTGTGATCAACTTCGGTTTTTCTTATCTTATGAATGTTTTCTGTTCAATGAACTTGGGAGTTACATTGCAACTTGTGAAATGGTGAAACTTTAGTATATCTTTCTAGTTTAATTTATTTTAAAGTTTAATGTGTACCTATTGTCTTGCTATATTAAGTTTGAAGTTATGTTTTTTCTTAAACCTTGATCTTGTGTTTTCTGAACATACTTCTGTTTTTAAATTTGATCATCCTACTTTTCCTCTTCTTCAGACAAAGCAATTATACATGGTTTCTTAAATGCATTTGAAAAAATTACTTTTTGTCCTTGTTTATTTGTTGAAGCATTCTAAATACTTGTCTTGGATTATTTTCATTTTAATTATTGGAGATTATTTAAAACGAATTACATTATATAAGTGAATGCTAATGTTTTAGTAGGAATGAAGTTCACTCTTTGCTAATATTTAGCAATGGAATACTTTTATGCTTTTTTTTTTAATAATTTATAAAAATTCTTATGCTCTAGGTGCTTGAATGTTATCTTGGAATTGATACATGTTGCATTTATATTAATGATTGATTTTATACATTTCAGGACAGAAAAACGACTTCAATTTTCTTTTACGATAATTATATGCATGCAAGTTTATATTTTTTTCTAAATTTTATTTCATTGTTTTGCTGATGTATTTTGTTTGATTCGCTAGTTCTGTTTCTAAATTTCGGCTGCCTATGTTATTTGTGTATAAATTAGAATACCTCAGAATTTTGTAAATTTATGATATTTATGCAAGTTTGTAGACAGCACAAGAGGGGCAAATGAGTGACAAATTACACTATACTTGTTAAACACAATTTATTACTTAGTTTTAATGTTAGACTTGAAATATGTATACTACAGAAATCAAGATCAATATCGAGATGCTTTTGTGTGAATAATCCTGGTTATGTTTTTGTAGTATGTGTATCGTCAGCCTTAATTGCATGCCGCTATATATTGGTTTTATCATATACAAGCATTATACATATTCGCAGTAAAACAAATTCATTCTACTATTGAAACATTTATTATTTACAATTAAATAGTAAACTCTAACAAGTGTTATTTCAAAATTTGTATAAAGTCTCACTCATTTACAATGTGTATGATAAAACTGCTGATCTAATTGTGCAGTGTTTAAAATATTTTTAATATTACCTGGCAAGTTAAATGTTATATTAATTTTAATTTTATGTAGGTACACCGAAAGGCCGCAGTCGCTCTAATTTACCTGCAAATTCACCAGTTGTACATTTGCCTGCCACTATTTTACCAGAAGATCCGCCCATGCCTGTTCTTACACCAGAACCAAAAACAACAGAAATTAAAGATGTCGAAAATCCATCAACACCAGTTAATAAACGTAATAATTTTTGCTTATATTTATATTTATCATTATATACTTTACCATACTTATATTTAGAAGTGTTTTGGATTTTTATAACTATTACTTAATGATTATGACATAAGTTATAATTAAAATGAGTAAATAATGCTAATTTTATCTAATAATAATTATAGCTGGTCCAGCAGAAAAGGGTAAAGCTGCTCCTTCACCATATTGTGACTTCTGCCTAGGTGATCAGCGTGAAAATAAGAAAACAGGAACTGCAGAGGAACTGGTATCATGCAGTGATTGTGGAAGATCAGGTTTGAATATTTTGATATTTTTTTAAGAATAGGTTTTCAAGAAATAATGACTCATTTATTTATTTTTTAATTTTATTAGGTCACCCATCGTGTCTACAATTTACTGCAAATATGATTGTATCTGTTCGCAAGTACAGGTGGCAGTGCATTGAGTGCAAATGCTGTTCTCTTTGTGGTACCAGCGATAATGATGTAATTTCTTATTAATATCCTTACTATTTTTGATATAGTTCTCTTGTGTAACTGATTAATATTTTTTAGGATCAACTGTTGTTCTGTGATGACTGTGATCGAGGTTATCATATGTATTGTCTAAAACCGCCTCTAGCAACTCCACCAGAAGGCTCTTGGAGTTGTCATTTATGCCTTACCGAGTTTCACAAATAATGCTGCAACTCGGATGCTACAAATTGTAATATACATTCTGACTCATGTGTTTAACTATGATGCTGATTGAAGCATGGAATGAGATTTTATTTCTTTTCTGACATTGATTTATTGATGTATAATTTTTTATGTAAGTTATTTTAATTCAAGGATGGAAATCATTTAAGTTAAATTATATGTATATATATATATATATATATATATATATATATATATTGTTAGGGCTGGTTTATGTAGGATATTTCTTAGTTTAATTAATTTTAAAAACACTGATTATGCACAATATATGTATATGGTTTATTGCACAAAAATTCACTCATTTTTATGATCAAAAGTGCTTCAATAACATAACAAATCAATAATCTTTGATTGAATTAGTATATTTTTGTGATGCAAATATTATTATGCAATATATTGAGTCCTGATAAGTAAATATATTTTGTAATATGTGAGGCAGTATTACTTCAAGCCATATAATGTTTATATATAAATTACTTTTTTAATATTGTGATCTCATAATCAAGAAGAATTAATTATTTTTTTAAGATTTCTAAAATATACATGTTTAATTTAAATTTATTAAGTTATCTTCGGAAAACAGTACAGCACAATTAACTGTATGAAACTCACCAAAATGTATAAGGCTTCTATCGATATGTATAACTTAGAAGGTAAGGTTTAAATTTCTATGTACTTAATGATGATAATAAATATTAATATTCAATATTAATATTACTGCGTTTTATGACTCCGTGCAGTCTTTTTTGATTTGTCATTCCCAATTTCTACCCTGTATTTATTACATAATTGATGTGACTCTCAGACTACTTGGTCAGTATAATTTTTTTTGTAGATTAAACTGACCAATGTTAATATAGTAACATCTACAGTACATATGTAGATGTTACTTTATTAACTTTAACATGTTGGTGAAATTGAATGATTTATAATATATTGAAATGTGTGATTCCTGTGGATTTGTTGGATCATCTATCTACATAAATAAAATGTTCATTAAGTGCCGAAAAGTAAATCGACTAGCATATCCTTGTCAGTGACAAAGTTCTTAACAGTGATAGTATTGCAAAAATATTAAATAAAAAGGTAAGATGTATTTTTATTTAGTAGCAGACTCAAAATATGTGATTAAGATTATTGTGAATTATTCAGTTATAGATTGGACCCAAGAACTTTATTGCTGGGGTATTAGGATGTTCAGTGTTCTTATACTTCTGACTATGCCCGACTACATCATGCAATCATTTACTACCGGAGTTTGATTTTCAAAAAGTAATTAAAGTAAGTACTATCAATAAATTTATTAATTTATGCATATATATATATATATGTATATATATAAGATTTTTTTAAAATAATTACTGGATTGACATTTGAAATTTATACAACTGAACAAATACAGAATTTAATGATCAGATAATCACACTTGCGTTTTAAGAAATCACATACTTGAACTTATAGTTATGTTTTCAATTGAAAGTTGCCCATTTCAGGCACTGCGATATGAAATGGCAATGGGAAATCTCTCACACTATTCTTCCCTCAATCGAGTTTGAGTTAAACTCAGCTCACGGACTTGCCCTTGGACCCATACGCACGGACTATCCATTATTTTTATTATTATATATTATTTACAAATATGTACATATAAGTGTATATTTTTTTATAAACACAACCTTTGTTTCTTTGATTAAAATATTCAGATAAAATTCAAGATGAAAAAATTGATATTAATTTTATTATTGAGATTTACTATTAACATATTCAGAATAATTTAAAAATCCATCGCCGTCTGCATCGAAATCTTGTAGAATCGTGTCAACATATTCTGAAATAAAAAAAAGTTATTGAAAATATGTATAAATTTTTATATTATATAGTATATTATATTTTATAGTAGATAATTTTAAAGTTTTTTTTATTTATTTCATCATCATTGTAAATAAATAAGTGAAGAGTGAAAATAAATTTACACTGGTGATAAAACAAATTATACCTCCGATTTAAACAAGTCTAGAAGCTTTAATTTTAAATTCTTTAATAAAATAGTGTTAAAAGTGAGGATCGATCATATTTTTAATTTAATTAATTAATTATCTATGAAAAATAAATTTTTAGAACTAAAGAGTCTTAAATTACCTGCAAAATCTTCTAGGGCTAGACTCAAAACAGGGTTTTTGCTAAATGCACCATCAACATCGTTATTTAGTGATATTTGATCGTCTGATTCAATCTTAGGATCATCATCTACAATTGGCTTTTCGGATTCTTCAGAAGAATTATCTTCTGCATAATTATTATCATCTTTTTCATCTAAGTTTTGGCTAATGATGAATTCACTATCTTGAATATCAGTCTCATCTTGAGGATTCGTTTTAATAACTAGTATTTCGCTCTTGGCAAAATTCTCATCTTTTTCATTAGAATCAGTCGTATTTGTATTGTTAATATTTTCGTTTTCAACTATTTGATCTTCGAGAATGAAGTCATGAGAAAACATTTTTAAAATTTCTAATCCGTCTAATTTATTATTATTGTCTAAGTCGTGCATTTGGAATAAATAGAAATTGTAATCGTCCTCAGATAAATCTAGGGCCTGTTCTCTGTTCAAGTGGGATTTGATATGCCTAGAAATATAAAATTATATATTATATATTATAATTTCAGATGGTTAAAGATATGAATTATAAATACAGTTTTATACATGCATTTATCAAATAAGTTTATCAAATAAAAATATTTTTATCGGAAATCCATAAAATTAATAAATGAAAACAAAGTTTGGTTTACAAAGTTACATTTTCAATTATACATATTTGGTGAACGTTTCGAGCATCAAATTTTAGCAAAAAAACTAGAAAACTCTATATAACAAAACAAAAAATAAATAATTTTATCATAAAAGAAAAATGATAAAAAATAAAGCGTTAGTTCAACTTTTAATATTGCGGTAACAATATTATATTCCTATTGATGAATATCAAGTTTTATAACAGGGATTTTTAAATAATATAAAAACAGATCTATAGAAATAATATTTTTCATTAATGATACGCCTTTGATTATTACTCTCTGTAATTATATTAAATGTAATTTTTTTTCAACTTACGCTTCATCGTGTTCTTTTTGATTGTGAATTACATTATTTTCATTAACATGATTATGTTGGTGTTTTCCATCAGTTTTATGGGTACATCCTCTTGGATGATGAGGACCACGTTTACCGGAACCACATTGGGTTCCAGGCAAAATTACCAAAGTAATACATGACAGCCAAAAAAGTTTAGAAAAAAATTCTCGGGGATGACTTGATAACATTATTCACTTTTATAAAAACCCATTTGAATAAAGACAATCATTTAGGATTTACTATTTATTAATTGTTACTTGTTTACCAATTGTTTGTTTCTGTTTTAATTTACTAAATATTTTGGTTGTTTAGTTCAATTATTTTATAATATTAGTAAAATTTTCTATTTATTGAGATGATCATCAGAGGTTAGGTTTGTGAAAACTTTCGCACGAGACCAAAAATCAATAATTCAAAAAGCTCCCCTGCGAACTTGGGATGAGTTTCCGAGATAAGCTTTGTTTGAAGCTCATCAGTAGCACTGAATTTTAAGAGATGGTGTTAGAATTGTAGTAAAAATAAACTATTCGTTTTTTTAATAAATTGCAAAACTGTAGAATTATTTAAAAAACGTACTAACTTATCTAATAAATTATGAATTATGAAGCAAACTAGTTGCATATGGCATTTTGCCTTAAGGCAAGTTGCAAAAACTAACTGGCATGTAAAAATAATTGAAATGAATTGAAGAAACAATTTGGCCAATAATCACCAAAAACTAATTAGAATCATCTCCATCTAGAAGTCTTTGGAAAGGTCTTTAAACTTTCAAAATTGATTTAAAATTTTTTGTGAAGACCTGGTCAATTTTTTTTTAAGTTTTTAAAATTTAAATATATACATATATATATATATATATATATATATATATATATATAGGGCGTCCCAGATCATGACGTGAAGCTGAAACGGGGGGATCTTAATTATTTCCTACAAAATGCCAATTTTTCTCATGGTCTTTGATTTACGTTTTACAAATTGACTCTTTGAAGACAAACAGACGTCCAGTTGATCAATAGAATTATCATTAACTAAATTTCAGCTTCTAATTACCAAGAAACCAATAATCAATCAAATTTCCATCGATTGAAATTGATATTAACACACGCCTCGTTTGAAAGCGCTTTTTGAATTCGAGCCAAAGACTTTTATGAAACAAAGTTAAAAATATAACCGATCACGTCAACATAGAAAATAATATATTTCGAACAACTGCACTCTCGAAAAAAAAACAAATAAGAATATTTATACATATTGACTACATGCATATCAAAGTTTTTATATATATGATATTTATTATCGTCGAGAGTTTTTTAGAACAACTGTTAAGAGCGTTTAGTTTATAGCAAGTATCAATTTATGAGAGGAATTTGCTTTATTCATAGATGTTTTAAAATACGCAATATTTTGAATGAATAAAAATAAAAATATAGTTTTGACGATTTATTTGAAGGTTTAATAGCGATTGTGCAATATCTAGTCTAGTTGATATACGAAATAAAATTTGGAATAGAAATGCGTGTGGTTAATATTCTGTCGATGCAAATGTGTGGGATTAATACATTTTTGTAATTTCTCTTATTTACTATTTTAATTTAGTAAATATGAAAATATTATTCTATAAACTCAGTTTTATTAAAGGATTTAATTACTTAAGTTGTGACTATATTGGAGAACTATTATGGGAGGTATTATATTACTTATATACTTTTTTTTTATTTATTTATTAAAAAATAGTATACAAATAACACAAATATATGAAACACAAAACGTGTTTATATCTATATAATGTATAATTTGAAGGACTGAAAACAATAACATTTGCTTTATAGTAAAATTTTACTACAATCCATATTAAAATATTGGGAAAGTACACGCCGTTTTGTTTTTTGTGATATTTATTTATTAAATGATATTATTTATTTCAATTGGAAACATTTTTTTTTATCTATACTTTCAAGTAAAAATGGATATCGATCCTGCACGATACAGGTCTCTGTGAGCTGAGTTAAGCTCCAACTCGATTCAGGGAAGAATATTGTGAGAGATTTACCATTGCCATTATACACCGCAGTGCCCGAAATGGCACTGCGGGCTATTTTCTATTGGAAACATATTTTTTATCTAAAAGAAAATGGACATCGTTAAGGCACGATATCAGGTTGTCCAGAGCGGAGTTCGAACTGACGAACCCGTTCACACGAATCAATGAGCTTAAGAATTACACTATGGAACACTCATATAATATTTGGCACACGTTAATAAATATCAAGAAAAGTTATGTATTTCTAGTAAACTGAATGATTTCTTCCACATCAAACTTTATAACGACTATTTTTTCCTGTTCTTAATGGCTTTCGTAAAAATGTAAAAATAAAACTTAATATTAGAAGTGACATATTGATAATTAGTGACGCGAAAATCTCGAATACGTCACAGTGCCATGTGTACGATAGATATACGAGTATAATATATAACAACGAAGCCACGAAGAACAACACCTACACCGAAGCATCTTCGACGGTGCCGAGGCGATCCGGAAGACGAACGTACGTTTCCGAAAATCAGTTTTAATCAGAACACCGTTTGAACAACTTCAAATTTGAAAAAAAAAATACTGAGTAATTTTTTTTTTGTAAAGTGGTAATATATTGAAAATCAAAAATGCCGGTGAGTTTAATTAAAATAGTTCTTAACATTTAATTTAATTTATGTTAATATTTATTTTATTTTAAAGTAGAATTTGTGTTGTTTTTGGTTTTAATTCTGATGATGTTTGTTCCCTGTTTTTAAATTTTATTTAATTTACAATTTATCTTTAATCAAACACATTCCTTAAATTCATAAAGGTTAAGACGAAAACAATGGTCCAATTTGGCTTACAAAACCAAACCAACCACATCCTAACACATAATATATATATCTAACTATGATTCCTATATTAAACCTAGTTCTCAGTTAATTTTTCTCATAGTAGTATATTTTTAACTATTGTTCTAAAATTTGTCATCTGTTCCTACCCCATATATTTTACAAATTTTAGAATGATAGTTAAAAAAAATACTTCTATGAGAAAAATTAACTCAGAACTAGGTGGGTTAGAAAACGACAACCAAAGAGCTAAAAGATTTTCTATTTTATTTTAAAGTGGTAGGCCTTTTTACAGTAGGCAAATTCTATTTATTTTATTTTAAATATAGCTTTAAATTAAATTAGTAAAAAAATAGATATTGAAATGTTTGTAATTATTGCTTGGTTGGTTTTAATAAATCTGTTCTTTTTAGACGTGTGGAATTATAGCAATTTGGATGATTTATTTTTGGTTTTTAAACCTGTTGATAGTTTTTGAGATAATTGAATTATTTAAAAATAAAACTGCAGGATTTTTTAACAGTTGTCAATGAAAATCATACCATCAAAGTCTTGAAATATGTTATATATTATAACAATAAATTTATTTTCAAATTTTTATGCACTTACTTCTAACTCGTATATTATAATAATTTTTGACATATAAATTTATATAATAAATAAAGAATAAAGATAAATGAGATTAACATTGCATTACTGTAACAAAAGCTTACAAAAAGATTCAGTACAATCTTTTATTATAAAAAGTAATAATATGGTTAAACTTTTTGTACGTGATTTACACAGATTTTATTAAAAAAATAAAGAAGATCTTCATTGCATTATTCTACAAAATTAAATTTTTATTTTATTTTAAAGGAAGAAAATGTAGTAATGTTATAATGTAAATGTAGTATCATAACCATCATAAACATTTTGTATACAATTGAGTGACAATATTGCAAAGTTGCAAGCAATTTTTATATCAAAAACGTATATATATATATATATATATATATATATATAGTTCATATATATTTTGGTTACAATAATAAATTGGTATATTAGTAGCCTAGACCTTTGGCGTGGACTCAAAGAAAACACCTGTATATATTAATTACCTAATGCGTTCTTGACTAATTATATAAAACATAAACATGAATATGCATTAATAATCTTCAATATGTAAAATAAATGTGTAAATGTGCCAATGACATATATAAATCATCTTATCAAATAAAATTATAATAGAACTTACGCAAAATCAATTTAAAATAACAGGAAAGATATTTCGGTTATGCATGCATGTAATTGAATAAACATAATTAAAATATTATTTTAAAAATCTCATATCATGAACATTATTTAATAAATTGATTTGTATAATCAAGATGCCAAAGAATATTCTTTTCTTACGTATATAAATTATGATTATTCCTGTTTTGATTTAATTTATCGATTACTCATAGGATTCAAATTGATTGAAGAAACGAAAATATTTTGCAAATGATTTGTTTTTTAAACATTACACCGCTTTCTTTATCAATGTTTGCAAAAACTATGCTACATGAAAAATTAAAATAATCACAATATTAGATACGGTAAAGATGTTTTTAAAAACAATTTCCAATCGCAGATAGTAGATAAATATTTTTTAAATTTTGCGTGTTTATTAGAAACGTTTCGGTGTTTTTTTGAAATAGAAATATGAAATCGAACAAATAGATTATATGTTCATATTTATACATCCTGATTTACATATATGCATATGTATGTTGAAATTTTTTATAATAACTTTGATGCAGATTTCAGTTTTTTTGCTTTATGCAAGTTTTTTTATATTTAAAAGATTTATATGTTTTTTATACAAATTTCTCAACCATAAAAAACATGTACATCTATATTCAATTTCTAAGTAGTGAATATTAAATTTAGCTACTAACCAACTATTACTATTTCATGTGGATAGACAAATATATAATTAGATATAAACATATTGATTTTTAATCTATTTTCTATCAGGAACATGATGTATTTAACGATTGCAAAACGATAAATATTAGATGTATATTGTCTTCTGTTTTCTTCTTGGCAATGAGAACAGTTTCTATTTTTGAATTTATTGCTGCAAATTTGAACGTTTAGATCTTTAAATACATTCATATTACTGTTTAATTTTATTATATTAGAGAACTTAATATAAATTAACGAAGACGTCAAAAATATTTATTATAATCTCATGTCAAACCTATCTCAAATAAATTCATCGCGTTGACAAAAGATTTAAGTTTCATAATTGTAAAATGCAGAAACACTAAATTAAAATTAAACCTGATTTATTATATATATATATATATATATATATATATATATATATTTCTATGAGTATATTAAATATTCGTATGATTGAATTTCAAAATATGATTTGGCACGAATTCAAATCACGTCTGAAATGTTGAAATTTTAATTGGCAAGTTAATAATGATAATATTCCAACAAATATATATTGGTTAAATCATGCGTAGATTTAGATGCAAAAGCAAGTATTAATTTCGAAAATGTATTTAAACTAATTAGTTTAAATACATTTTCGAATTCACTTTTTAAATATTAATTTAAAGTTAAAGTTTATATCCTATTGAATTTACATACAAAATTTACAAGAAATTTTAAAGACCATGCTCAATTTTGCAATGTAAAAATTTAAATAGTTATGAAAAAAAGTAAATATTTAATTACTATTACACTTATTTTATAAAAAATATCAATATGCTATGATGGACTTTATTTATATATATATTTTATACAATTAAAAATTGATGATAATCAAAATAGCTTAAAATTTAACAAAATTATAAGTTAGTAAAATTATGAAAATGTTGTGCCTTAATTATTTCCAATCCTATTTTCCAATCAACTCTTATTTTGATGAAATTCTTAATTACTAATCGACTAGACTATTACATAAATCGTTTCTCAATCAACACTCTGAAAATAAACTTTGAGAAAAATTGTGTAACTTGTAATATAGTTTGATAAGTATCAATCCACACTTAAGTCAATTTGGAAAGTCTAAATATAAACATAACGAATTTATGTAATAAAAGTGGTTTTGCATGTGATTTTCAAATTTTCCTATGTACGTTCCGAATGATGTTATTTTCAAGTATTTATTTAAGATGCGTTTCTTCACACATCGTAAAATAAATCCGTCAAACTATTACTGAAGACTCGCCTTTCTAAGTTCAAAGCTCCACTTTATTTATGAATGTAGAAAATAAAAAAATAATCTTGAAATAAGTATTTATTAGTTTGTAAATAGAATTTATGATGTCGTTGCCCTAAACCTCGTGCAAAATAATTCTAATATAAATATAACCAGAAGTTAAATTTTCCAAGGTACAAGTGGAAAAACATCTTGTAAATAAAACTATTATTATTTTGAGACGTTTTTAACTATGATTTTCATAGGAAACTTAAAAACAAAATTGCGATGGTTTATTATCATATCGATGAGGTTTATATTTAAATTTAAAAGTATTTGATTAAAATATACAACCAATTTAAATTTATGTATAAAAAATCTTACAGAACTCCATTGATTTTCAACGTACTATTAAATTAATTTTAATTAAATTTTTTATTACTTTATTAAATTAAATCTATGAATTATAAACTGTATGAAAATAGAAAGGACAGATAATTAAGATTAAAAGTATTGAGAGTGGTGCACATGAATTTAGGACAAACATTTCTACTCTGATCTGTAGTTGTAAAATTTAACTTTGTTTATGCAAAAATGATTTGGATCAACATCAAATACATTCTGTTTTTTCACATAAACAATACATTGTATATTTCACTTCATTTATTAGCTTTTAACACTTAACTACATACAAACGCGTTATTCAATCTAATTCTGTATTTTTTGAACTTGTATCAAATTTCTTTTGTTCAACAGCTTTCTGTTTATACAAAGTCTATAAATGCAATCGTATGTGTGATTTTTAAGATTCGAAATTACGTAATTTTTCAAGTGTGTGCAAGTATATCTACAAAACATCGTTCAAGATAAATATTTAGTATTCCAGAAATAATCCCGAGTCGGTGTTTCGCGCAGATTGAAATATTAACACTATGGTTTACATTGAGGATGTATTGAAATTGTGCCAAGGACGTGCTCTTCTGTGTGGGTGCAATGATTTAATTTTAAATTTTCGATAAAATAATATTGCACAACATCGTATTACATGATTTACCTCTTGAATAGACAAAAGACACTTTAAACTTACATGGGAAGGGAAGTTGTATGATCATCTTGATACATGCAAACAATCGACTTAGTCAGCAACTTTTCTAATTTTCATAGGCCTATAATATTTTAGGATGCTGTTAAGTTTTCTCCACAGGGACCGTTGCGACAGGCATAAAAATAGGCGAAAAACAATAGGTATAAACACCAAAATGGTTTACAACGACTTTACATTTACTTTACATTTACTTGACCTTTTAATGTAAGTCACTGACTGAAAGGAATATTGGGAACTTGCTCGAACAAACATGCTTCATCTTTCTTTATATCGAGTACTATTTTTAAAAATGAGTCAATGATTATAATTTCTTTTTTCTTGCAGGCCCGCGACAAAAACCAAGAACAAGAAGTTTTGCAATGGATCGAAGCCGTTCTAGGTAAGATGACCTTTATATAATAGTAAGCAATTCAAGCCAACTTTCTTTAGAAAATTATTATTGATATATTTTTCTAAATATAAATAATTTTATATATCGATGCCAAATGCTACTTCGTTATTTTGCTCAAATATATTGCGCCAGATTGATTTAGTACCACTATAATCGTAAAATTGTTATTTATCTCCAAACATCTTGTAGTATTTCAATTATACTTCGGTCAACATCTGTTCTAAAAATAATATTCGTAAATCATAAATGAATGTTGTACTATGTTTTTGCTAATTGGTTGGTTACGTAAAGCAAACATTTTTTGTTTAAGGTGAGCCTTTGCCAAAAGGCGAATACGAAGACATCCTTAAGGATGGAGTTGTCTTGTGTAAACTCATAAACAAATTGGCACCAGGCAGTGTCAAGAAGATCCAGGAGAAAGGAACAAATTTCCAACTTATGGAAAATATTCAGAGGTAAAAAATGATAGTATTTCGGAATTAGGGCTTTCATTGAACAGTTACTTGATCAAGTCAATAAATAAAATTAGTAATGTTTAGATCCTCTTATTGGAACACTCAACATTATAGAAGTCGTAACATGTTTTAGTAAATTTTTGGTTCTATATCAAAAGTAGCAACTTTTGTATATCTGTGGTCTCTTTTATTAGATTCCAGGCCGCAATTAAGAAATACGGTGTGCCACAAGAAGAAATTTTCCAGACCGCCGATTTGTTCGAAAGAAGAAACATCGTCCAAGTCACACTTTGTTTATATGCTTTGGGCAGACTTGTAAGTAATTCTATACTTCTAAGGAAGAGTCCCAATTATATACATGCATCTTATTTTGATTTTTGTTTTGAATTCACAATAAATTTTCTTTATAGACACAAAAACATCCCGAATACACAGGACCATCATTAGGCCCCAAAATGGCAGAAAAGAATGAAAGGACGTTCACTGAAGAGCAACTTAGAGCCCATGAAGGAGAAGTAAATACTTTTGAACAAAGGATGTTAACCAACAATATATTTCCATTCAATTTTAATCTCTATTTTAGTTGAACTTGCAAATGGGATACAACAAAGGTGCATCTCAATCTGGCCATGGTGGATTTGGTAACACTAGGCATATGTAATTTGCTGATTTTATACGTATTTCTGAAAATATTCCTCACAAGTCTGACGACGATACAGATTAGTAGAATCGAGCACACTTTGTTCAATGTTATTCTGATACAGACTCAAAATTAACACAAACTAACAAAATATAAACGACATTCACAAACACTCATAACTAATAGATATAGACACAACACTAATTTTTACACAATACCAATACATAATGAACATATAAAAATAAATTAACATCTCTACACATTAATACGATACATAAATTTAATTCACTAAACAAACATTAATTTTACATTATTGTAAATCTTTATTACATTAATATAAATGTTAATATTCATTTTATTATTTTTCAAATTTCATTTGCTAAACACAATTTTAATACTAAATTACTACACATTTGTAATAAAATATAATAACACCAATATAACAAACACTTGAAGAACACGCACACAAAAATGCAAGCGCTAAATACGTAAATCAGCACCTAAACTAATTTTAATATAAGACATAAAACTTAAATGCAAAACATTAAATGATAACAATATTACACAAACATATTACACTATACACATTTCACATTACACAATACACTATACACAATACACAACACACAACGCACAATACACAATACACAAATCTTAATAAAAGAAATACGCAAAACAGCAAGAATACTTACATACATAACTAATGCACAATGCACAAAATACCTCAGAACATACAATACATGATACACTATACACAATACACAAAACACTAATCACAAGCACAAAATACAAAACTCTAAACACTAAACGCATACACACAACACATATACACTATATACACCAATTCACAATAAATACACAAATACACTATTACACATGTGCATTATTACACAAATACATTATTACACAAATACACTATTACACATATACACTATTATACTAATACACGAGTACACGAATATACAAATACACCACTACACTCGAGCCAATTACTTAAAACACTAATTAATATACTAATGTTTAATTTAGCACTAGTTCCAAAAACTTGAATTGGTAGTTCATAAGTTTTTTCTATTTATCAGCGCATATGAATAAAGTTTTATAGAGAATAGTTGGATAAAAATTTTGCTTTACAAATATGTGCAATTTAATTTAATGATAAACTAAAGCTTTTTCGCTATTTATTGTTGCATAAGACACATCATGTATTATTTAAAATAGAATAAATTTTACTTTTTAATTTGATGTTTTATCATAGACTCTTTAACTATATATTTTATTTGTTATTAACATTGCTCTAAAAATAATTCTTGTAAAAATGTTTATTAATATTTACTTTAGCCGCAACATTACTTCACTTAGATTGAAGAAAAAGTTTTTAGCTTTATTTAGCTCTCATAGAATTTTTCCAAAGCCATGGAAAATCAACTCATAGTTTTATAGGATGATTTAATATTGTGATTATCCATTTTTTTAGGTGATATATTTCCAGTAATTTATAATCTTAATCTCAAACCAGACTGGAAATAAATATTACATAGTAGTAACAGCTGTAGAAAATAAATTATATGTCACTTTTGTTTCCTTAATGAATTTAAAAATAGGCCTACTCAAATCCGTAGGCACATAATACTTAATAAAATATATTTTTAGATCATCGTTCGTATAGTGGGTGTCAGTTGCTATTCTGCCAGAAGTTTTCATTGTGAATTATATATATATATATATATATATATATATATATAACTTAGATTTTACAGACGTTTCGAGCTAGATTTGCCTCATCCTCAGTGTAAAATATTCTATCTAATAATTAAAATATGGATACAAAAAGGATTTTTGAAAAATCCTTGTTATCTGTTGCACAATCCTCAGTTTACAGAGCAATTGAATATATCATTCTTTTTCGCAAATATTACTATTAATGAAGTCTTTTGTTCATCACTTAAGATGTTTGTGTTTTTCCAAATAATTTGTGTTTTTTTTCACTAAAGAAAGGACAACTAGGGAATATTTGGATAATTCGGAAAGTAATATAATGAGCTAATTAAGGTATATGAGGTAAGTTTGAATAATAATGAAAAGTGCAAATATAGTTGAAATGTAAATGCAGATTAAATTTTAATCGAAAAGTAGTCATATAAATTTAAAGTTTGATGAAAATAATGAATCTAAACATCAAGTAATGAAACATAAACATCCAGAAATGAATACAGAAAGTCCATGCAAATGTTGAGAAATAAATTAATGATCTTTAAATTTATTGACTTTGGGGCACAATATTTTTGATTATAACATGGTATAATAAAAAAAGTAGATACCAAAATATAAGTCTATGATAAAAATAATACAAGAAGGCATCAAAGTATGATTCTGCTGGTTTTGTTAAGAGTGGTAGTCAGTAAATTATTCAGATAGCTTATAAAGACATAAATTACTATTTGGAGAGGGTTATTTTTAAATTACTTATAGACATAGTATTTTAGCTAGATATTAATTAAGTTATAAATCATTTACAATTATTTAAATTTTGAAACAAGTTCTATATACTGTATTTTTAACACATTCGTTTCTAAACATTCGAACCGATATTTTACCACAGTGTATTCAGTAGGAGATGGCAGTACCAGTTTTTATGAAATGCTTTTGATTGGTTTATTTCCAGTATTTTGTAGAATTTGCACAAAATAATTATATAATACACTACCAGTTTGCAAAAGGTATTGTCACTTCATGTCGAGATCTACAAACTGACAGATTCAGTAAGTTCCTATTCCTATGTACTTACAATTAAAAAACACGTATTATTTAAATCAAATCTCGAAGATTTGGATGATTTTGAGGTAAGAATATAACTTGAATAATTTAATATAGATGATACATTTTAGTTGGTTATATAAAATCTTGCACTTTTAGCAATAAGTATTGATTTCATTTCCCATTACATTTTTTATAATAAATGTAATATCACAAGATTTTATTTAATAGGATATTAAAAAAATGTATTGAAATTAAAATAACTAATGTATACAAAAGTGTTCAGAAATCTTTGAAACGTAAAAATCTATAAAAAATTTCAGTTTCGATTTTTTTGCGATTACTATAACTTGCCCTATGGAAAGTTCATTGTTCAGTTATCCTTATATTAATTATTATAAATAGTGTTAATTATAAAACAACTTTATCAACTGTTTGATAATCATTGCTTCACAGAAACCGACTAATTACACCTTCTGATAGTATTTTCCCACAAAACTTTCTAAATTTCAATTTTCCCGCGAACATTGACCTAGTTCCCCATTTATCAGAGATAACGTCGTGCATAATATTTTCATTCATAAGCTTATGCGTATGTATTGTTTTCCTTACTCTATATAATGACTTCTACGTCGTAGTGGGGAGAAATATCTTGTAGAGGGAACATGAATGAAATGCCTTGCTACGCGATTTAACGTAGCACGATTATTATTACTAGACGTAGATCGTCCGAGTATAAGAAGCTACGATTTTTGAAATGAAAATTTTTGAGAGAAAATTGCTTTTTATGAAAATTGCAGTAATTTGATGACCTAAACAACAATCTGAATCGGTTACTGTTGTGACAATAAAAAATAATCATTGGTGTTAGGATTTATGTAAACTATAAGTAGATTTGTTTAAAGTCCTTCTTAAATATTGTTCTTTTATATATAGTAAATGTAGCTAATAAAAATCTGTATGTATTTCTGGTTGCTATAAAGTATCACAAAGAAACAAAAACTACCTATGATGAACTTTTATATTAATTAAATTAATTAACATAAAAGTAAAAATGTGAATTTTTTATTCTTAATAGTTTAAATATTTTGTCATGTCATATGGAAAATTAAAAAAAAAGGAATATTTTATTTATTTAATTATTCTGCCGTATGCTACAAATAAAAGAGAAGTAATTTTCTAACACATCATGCTATTTACCGCTATGCCACTAAATAATATTTATATTATATAATGTTCATTTTTTGATACTAAATTTTTTGGTAATTTTTATTTTATAGTACTTTAAGTTATTTTGAATCAAATTGCATCAAATAATAATGCATTTTTAATGCATTTTATAGATTTTTTTAACAGTTTATCTTTTTTATTGCATCATCTGGGTTAAAATGCAATATATATATATATATATATATATATATATATATGTATATATATATATATATATATATATATATATATATATATATATATATATATATAATTTGTACATGGTTTTTTACCCTAAGCGTATTTTATATTTCCAAATTTTTCCAATGATTATTCCATTATAGTTTACAGTATTAATTATAAGTTATAAAAGTTGTATTAGTGAATTAATTATCATGCTATTTACCGCTATGCCACTAAATAATATTTATATTATATAATGTTCATTTTTTGATACTAAATTTTTTGGTAATTTTTATTTTATAGTACTTTAAGTTATTTTGAATCAAATTGCATCAAATAATAATGCATTTTTAATGCATTTTATAGATTTTTTTAACAGTTTATCTTTTTTATTGCATCATCTGGGTTAAAATGCAATATATATATATATATATATATATATGTATATATACATATATATATATATATATATATATATATATATATAATTTGTACATGGTTTTTTACCCTAAGCGTATTTTATATTTCCAAATTTTTCCAATGATTATTCCATTATAGTTTACAGTATTAATTATAAGTTATAAAAGTTGTATTAGTGAATTAATTAGATTACAAGAAAAGAGTTATAAAAACAAAGTTTTTGAATTATATTAAAATGAAGGAATAATGCATTGAAAAGCATTATTAAAATAAATAGATAAAATCGAAAATTGAACAACCACATTATATAGTCTATGATATATATCATATGATACAGATTAATGGCCAAATCATGTAATCAGAACTAGAAAGTTTTATAAGCTGTTGTGATGAATTTTCAAGAATTTTCTTTTTGGGAGACGACTTAACAATATTGAGATATTTTTGTTAATAAAATTTTATGGTGCATTGTGACTTCATTTTATATTTCTTATAAGTGTCGTGTTTTTAATTTTGTGTAGCAATTTATTATATTTTTAATTTTGTGATAGCATATTTAAAACTAATATTTAAAATTAATATTTTCAAAGGAAAAACGGATATTATTATTGCTT